ATGTAATTAATTCTTGAAATTTTTTAAATTACGTAAAATACTGTATTATTGATAATTAAACTTCAATTCTATAACATGGAGTAAAGTGAGGGATCCTTACCCGAATCGGTGTACGAAATACTAAACTTTCTACTGTGCCTACTGGCGGTTCTCGAGTTTCTTGAAATTTCATGCTAAGATTAAAATACGCTTCACGTACTTAAAAATATCTTAAAAAATCTAAAATTAGTGTTAAAAAGTTCTGTTCAGCCAATTTTAAAATTCTAGCATGGCGGCACCGCCGTGCTCCGCGATAGCATCGTCGTCCGCGGCGGCGGTTTGCCTTGACCATGCCATTTTCGTCTAGTTTTGATATGTTTCTGTCGATTTTATACTAATCAATGCGAGAAAACACGTTAGGGGGCATCGATTAGCCCAAAAAAATATAAAAACAAAAACTTACTGACGGGGGGATTTTTCGGTGCAGCGGCTCCATTGGCTCACCTTCGCGGCTGGACATTTTTCTTCAGTCAATATGTATAAAACAGAACGGTGAACACAATGGTGTAAAAATCGCACAAAATGGGAAATGGAAATGGGCTCATCGGAGGCGATTTTTAGTTTTTCTTGTGATGGCGCCATCGGGCTTTACCTGCAGTTTTCAGCCCATCCGTTGCTCTTTTTGCTCTGATTTGGCCATGAGGGTGTTCAAAATCAAATTCCGAGCGAATAAGAGAGCTTTTTACCTTTTTTGACGGTCGGAGGTGGCTCCGGTGCGGCGGGGGACGGCGGTCGGCTCCCTTCTTCGGCAACTGGTCTTTTTCTCTAGCAGGGGGCTGGCAGCTAGGATTTTGGTTCGGTGTAAAGTGAGATATTTATGCCCATCTCCCTTAAATCTGGACCGTTCATTGCTTTCGATCTCGACCGTTCAGTTGCGTTTAAAGAAGAAATACATCTGAATCGTTCATCGCGATTTAATTTGGACTGTACAATCACGTTTAAAGAGGAAACGAATTTGAACTGTTCATCGTGTTTAATCACGACCGTCCGATCGCGCCTGAGAGGGGAACGGATCCAGACTGTCAAAGCGCACGGGAACACATCCAGACTGTCCAATTGCAGGCATGTGGATTGCCAGCATGGCCTCCCGCATGACACCAAGTTAGCGTGCCTTGCCACACAGTGCACTCCAGTTCGTCGAGACTGCTGACTGGACAGTTTTATGTGGCACAATTTTTTTTTTATTATGTTTTGACCTCTAATTTTTTATTTTTATTTCAAAAATACCCACTGAACTTAAATTTTTACCATTTTTTTCTAAAATTATTTTTAGCTTCATAATCCACATACTTTTTTCCATAATTTTATATTAAATAAAAATTTATAAATTTAAAAATTATTTTTTTATGTATTTATTTTTTATTTTATTATTTTTTAAAATTAATTTCATGTCAAATTTTGGACCCAGATAATAAATTTTTATTATTTTAAAATTGATTTCAAATATAATTTAATAATTTTTTATAGAAAGTTCACAAAATAATATATTAAATAAACTAGACATAATAAAAATATAGTAGGCATTTTGAATATATTATTCTTTTATAATAATGTCATAAGGAAAAATTGAGTTATTTCTTTAATTTTTTAAGAAAAAATATAATTTTATAATACATGTGCTTATACATACCAAATATTTTATATATTTATTTTATTTTGAATAGGCAATATATCGGGAATAATTTCGAATTCAGAATTTAACCGGTATCCGGAGCTCCACATATATATTGTCAAGTTTAACTAGGGTTTCCAGTATCTTCCCTGTTCGCTTCCTTCTCCTTGTGGAAATCGGCATAGCCAAAAGCGGTCTGCGCTTCTTCCCCTTATACCATAATCTTCACGACGGAGATTATGGCAGAGCCAGAGATTGAACGTCTTCCTCTCTCGTCTCTTTGAACTTTGGAAGGAGAAGCGGCTCGCGGAGCCACAGTTTCGTGTCCTGTGTTCTTCACAGCAGCGACTTTTCGTGTATTCTTCGTTGTAGCGAGTATCACAGTAGCAACACGTCTCTTTCCAGCTTCTGAAGAGTTATATTCCCCCTTCAGAGGTAGTTTCTCAGTTTGTATTTGTGCGGTGAGCGTTTTTTGTTGTGAAATACCTTCTTATTCACATGACAATCATGTTCGAATTATAGATTTGAATAATTTGCTGAAACTGGAATTAAATCACTGAACAGAAAACTAGAAAAAGGATCGTTCAGTGATTTTGCTCAAACTATAAAATGCACTGATCGTTCAAGAAAAGTAGAAAAGGAAGCTGAAGTAGTTGTAACTAATTTAATGTGAATAGGCTAGAAATCTCTCTGGTTCTGTAGCTTGTTGTGATTGTAGTAGAGTGTGATCCCAAATTCTTAGTAAATGATGCTTAGCAACATGGCTCAGATATTTAGCTCACTTACTCACCTTCCTGTTAATTTGTTACTTTTACTCTTTAATTCAGTTTCCAGGACTTGAACCGCTCCCAACTCATATCTTTTAGGGAGAGATTCCATGAAAAAACTTGTTTATCTCGAGGACATTAAGTTGATGATATGAACAGATAATATCCCTTTTAAAGCTAGTTGATTCTTTACCACTGCAAAATAGTTTCTTCTTGCTGTTGGACAGATGTGGAATCTTTAAATTTGCAACTGTTTTTTTTTTACACGTGTAGAATACAAGTGAAGGAATCACTTTTGCTTTTTTTTTTGAGATAAAAGTTAGTAAATATATTAAAAAGGTACCAAGGGAGTACCGTCCATGTACAAAAGTTTTACATATCTATAAGCATATCGACAACAGCTCCAATGTCATCTAAAGATATTAAATTACGACCCAAAAGAATGAAGTCAAAACAATGCAGTCACCTATTCTTAATATTTACAATACCTTCAAAAGCCTTATTATTTCTTTCTTTCCAAATAACCCAAAAAATTGTAAGTGGGATAAGGCGAGTAACATGAGGAATCACTTTTGCTTTAACAGCTATATTTTTTCCGGGGAGGTTGAAGAGCCGAGATTGGGATTGCTGTATAAGAAGTTGGGAAGAGGGTTGAAACTTGTAAGAAAATAGTACTACCAGAGGACTAAGATTCGCGAAGGACGTAAGGTTAACATATGTTAGAAATTCTTGTGTTGATTCGGGTGATGCTTAACAATTTGGATGACTAAATTACATAATTGGTGTTTATTTTTTAGACATGGTTCAAAGCGTGTCTAGATTTTTAAGTTTACATGTGATTCTATGTACCATTATGCATATAAATTGGGTATAAGTTTATGGATGGTTATGTTCTAATTGTACATATTAAATATATTTATATTATAAAACTTCTAACTAAAATCATGTGAAAAATGAGTGTTCAATCATTTGCTGGAGTTGAGGGAGAACTAGTCTGTATATAAAAGAATGTTCGATCAGAAACTTCTCTATTGGCTGTAATTAAGCATGGAATCTAGTGCAAAATTTTGATAATTTACTTTTATATCCCCAAAAGGATTAGTAAATGGATTTTATTAAATGATGTTGTCTCAATTTCAATCTGTATGCAGATGGGGAAGAAAAAGGAAAAAGCTATCCCCGAGTCTGATTCTATTGCTGATCTAAAGGCAATTATTCACCAGCATTCTCTGTTTTTTGACAAGTTGATTGAGCTTATCCCTGCAAAATTCTACTTACCAAATGATGATCAAGAAAAGATATGGTTTAAGGGACTTAGCAAGGAGGAAAAAGCTTCAGCAAAGAAGAAGACAAGGGAAAACCTCAAGAATGCTCGAAGAGATCGATTGGACCCAGAAAAGTCTTCTGCAAGCACCCTAGATTTGCTAAAACAAAGCTTGGAAAGGGAAAAACTAAATAAGGAGAATGAGGATAATGAAACAGATGTTACACCTATGATGGCTGGTCTGGAAGGTGGTGATCGTTCAGTGACATATGAAGAACTCCGACAACGCCTTCATCGTAAAATTGAAGAGCTTAGAGCAGGTCGTGGGGGTTCAGATAAAGCAAAGAAAGATGAGAATGCCAATAAAAAGCAAGTTCAGCAAAAGAAGAGAAAGAGAGAGTCTGGAACCGAGGAAAAGCATCCTGCTGCTGGTAAGCAATCAGATAAGGTGGAGAAAGACATTGCAGAGGCATCAAAGGAACTTACATTTAGTCATGTTAAAATTGGAGATGAAGAAGAGCCCGGGAAGAAGAAGAAGAGAAAAGTTACTAAGTCAAAGGAGCTTGAAATGGCTATGAAATTGGAAGAAGCGAAAAAGGATCCCGAGAAAGGTGGTACCATTGCAAGCAAGCATTCTTGGAAAGCTGCAACTAGTCGAGCTGCAGGGATCAAAGTCCACGATGATCCAAAATTGTTGAAACAAAGCATGAAAAAAGAGAAGAGGAGAATTCAGAAAAATGCTCAGAAGTGGAAGGAAAGAGTTCAAAGTCAATCGAAAATGAAAGCAGAGAAACAACAAAGGAGATCAGAGAACATAGCTGAGAGGATTCAACAAAAGAAGATGCGACGAATTGCAAAAAGAGAGAAAAAACTCTTGAGGCCCGGGTTCGAAGGTCGGAAGGAAGGTTTTATAAATGAAGGTGAAGCTTAAAGTTATCTACCAATAAGTTTTGGGTTAGTTTTCGTCTCTCTTTCCGGATTATCTGTCAGTTCCATTTCTCCCTATATCACCATTGATACTGGAATTTGAATGACCCATAGGAAGATCATATTAGAAGTTACCTTTAGTATTCAATTGAAGGAGTTTGGGGAATTCTTATTGTTGATTTATAATTTGGTCGGGGATACCTTGAGTAATATTGTATTTCGTCTCTGCGAACTATAATTTTTTTCCACGGAAAGGATATTTCAAAAATAGTAAGTTTTCTTACTTATATAACTATTATAATGGATAAAAGATTTCATTAGAGGAAGAAGAATGCTTTTATAGACAACTTAGAATAGACTATTCTACTAATAATAATTCAGAAATATTATAAATATAATAAATTAATTTTGAAATTTTGTAAAAAGATACAAAAAAACAAAATTGAAAAAAATATAATTCTATTATCAATTAAACAATTTCAGAATTTTACTTCAAAAATCTTAGCCTACTTTTTTACCAAGCACTTGTAATAGATTAATCCAAGTTTAAAAATTAAGTATTCGAAAAATGAATTATGTTATAAATTTCAAGAATTAGAAATACTCTGTGAGTTATAAATTATTTTAATTGAAATAATTATAGTAATTAAGATTTGACTTTTGAACAGACATTTTCAGTAACGAGCGGCACATGATTTCTGTCCCAACCCACGAGTTCCTTGACACAAAAGAACAGGTAAACCTCTCCAAACAAAACCTTTTGCCACACGGGACATATATATATACACGCACGTCATACATATGCATACATACATATATACATATATATATATATATATATGTAAGTAAACACACACACACATTGCCAGCAAAGCTTTTCTTGTTGGCAAACTCTAAATAAGTATATGATCAAACTGAGGCATCCAAGGTAGAATTTTTTTAAAAAATATGTCATTTAAATTTTGCAGGTGTTGATATTTTTTAAAAAATAAATTAATTAAAAGGTAGAGAAAAATGAATTAAAAAAAAAATCAGATTAAGGTTCTAATTTATTATGATTATTTTAATTAAAAAAATTTCATAATATAAAATATGTAATAGATTTATTTAAAATTAATTTAATTTAATTATTGTTGTCCTACTAATACATCATTAAATTAAATCTTCACTTACATTAGATTTTATGCACCAGCCACCTATTGAAAATTTAGGTATTTTTTTTACTATTTAATTCTTAATTTATATGTGTCAATTGAGTTGAATTTGAGTTAGATTTAGCATTAAGGTCTCGTAAAATCATACATGTCTTGGATGGTGCCTAATAAAAAAATCTAAAACTTTTTTAATATATATATATATATATATTAACTTGAAAAATTATAGTTAAAAATACAAATTCGCTTAATTCAATACGGTGAAATCGGATTAACCCGTAAATTTAATGAAGTTTGAAAAAATAATCTGTCTCGTACTCAAAACTAATTTAAATTTCTTTTCCGAATTCGAATTTAATAAAATTTATTCCAAAGATACTCTATTAACATCTCTAATTATGGGCTAACAATCCTTTCACGAGAAAAATATCCTTCTTTAATCCCTATGGATTTCAAAGTTATCTTCTATCTATCTATATTATTATAATTAATATTTATATATTATTTTTATAGATAGATGTATATATAAACTTTAAAAAAAAAAATTATTTAAAATCCTAAAAATTAAAAAATATAAATAAATTTTCACTTGAAGTGTTCCTCTCAGCAGTTTTTTTCTTCATTTAAGTAAACTCCTCTCACCAGTTAGCAGATGATAGATGACATCAATTATTTATACATTTGGCTCTGACTTCTTCTTTTCTCTTTTCTTTATATTCTACTAACCTTATCTCACCAATTCAACCATCCAACCACGCCTCGCACAAATCCAGAGACGGAACTGATTTACAGAATCGCCATGGATGACCTCAAACCCACTCCTGCAAACTCTCCGCCATTAACACCCGTCGGTTTCCTAGACAGAGCCGCAACTGTCTACGGCGATCGCCCCTCCGTCGTCTATAAAAGTACCTCCTACACGTGGTCGGACACCCACCGTCGATGTCTCCAGCTCGCCTCCTCCCTCTCGTCGCTCGGCATCAAGAGAGGCCACATCATCTCCGTCATCGCTCCCAACGTTCCCGCCATGTACGAGCTTCACTTCGCCGTCCCCATGGCCGGCGCCGTCCTCAACTGTATCAACACTCGCCTGGACGCTCGCACCATCTCCGTCCTCCTCCGACACTCCGAGTCAAAGCTTATTTTCGTTGACTTTTCCTCCCGGTCTCTGATTCTCGAAGCGATGGATTTATTCCCGCCGGAGATGAAGATTCCGGGGCTCGTCCTCATCGGCGACGATGAGGATGAGGAGAAGTCATCCGGGAGCGTTGACTCGGGTTCCCGGTTTTGGTCTACGTATGAGAGTTTAGTGGAGCGAGGAGATCCGAATTTTAAATGGGTCAGACCCGGGAGCGAGTGGGATCCGATTGTGTTGAACTACACGTCCGGAACGACGTCGTCTCCGAAAGGAGTAGTTCACTGTCACCGGGGTATTTTTCTCGTCACCGTTGATTCTCTGATCAGCTGGGATGTGCCAAAGCAGCCGGTTTATCTCTGGACGCTTCCGATGTTCCATGCAAACGGCTGGTGCTTTCCTTGGGGCATGGCGGCCGTCGGCGGGACCAACGTCTGTCTCCGGAAGTTCGACGCTCCGATCATCTACGACTTAATCAGACGACACGGCGTTACCCACATGTGCGGCGCACCCGTCGTGCTGAACATGCTAACTAACGGAAACAACGAGCCGTTAAAAAATCAAGTACAGATTTTAACCGCCGGCGCTCCACCGCCGGCCGCTGTGCTGTTAAGGACGGAGTCGTTAGGATTCGTCGTGAGCCACGGGTACGGGCTGACGGAAACGGCGGGGCTCGTCGTGTCGTGCGCGTGGAAAGAGAAGTGGAACAAGCTCCCGGCGACGGAGCGAGCGAGGCTGAAAGCTCGGCAAGGAGTTAGGACGGTGACAACGACGGAGGTCGACGTGGTGGATCCCCAGTCGGGAAAAAGCGCGAAGCGCGACGGGTTAACACTCGGGGAGATTGTTCTAAGAGGTGGTTGTCTTATGCTGGGTTACCTCAAGGATCCTGCCGGAACGGCGAAGTGCATGACGGAGAACGGCTGGTTCTTCACCGGCGATGTGGGGGTTATGCACCCGGATGGGTATTTGGAAATCAAGGATCGGTCGAAGGATGTGATAATCAGCGGCGGAGAGAATTTGAGCAGTGTGGAGGTTGAGTCGGTGCTGTATTCGAACCCGGCGGTCAACGAGGCGGCGGTGGTGGCTCGGCCGGACGAGTACTGGGGAGAGACGCCGTGCGCTTTTGTGAGCTTGAAGGAGGGGTTGAGCCAGAAACCGAGTGAGAAGGAGATAATAGAGTATTGCAGGGAGAGATTGCCGCACTACATGGTGCCGAAAACGGTGTCGTTTCAGGATGAGTTGCCGAAGACGTCGACCGGAAAGATTCAGAAGTTTGTGCTCCGGGAGATGGCGAAGAAGATGGGTTCATCCAGAAGTCGGATGTGAAAGTCAGTCAATAGTGTTTTCAAGCCACGTGGATGGAGGAATCTTGTCTTTTTGAGGTTTATCTTATTTGGTCCCCTCATTTGAATCTCTATGATCAAATCAAACATTATCTTTGACCTTAAATAATAAATTTAAATTATAATTTAGTCTTATATTTACTGTTAAATGTAAATAAATTCTTTTTTTTTTTTTTTATAATGGCACACAAAAATTTAATATAAAAAACAACTGAAATTTTGAATGAGATTAAATAATTTTGAGTAAAATTAGAAAGAGAATATGGATAATTACTATAAAAAGAACTTAATTAATTAACAAAGTGTAAATTTTCAATTTAATTATTGACATATTAATTTTTATTAAATTAAATATTAAATATTGATATATAAAATAATATTTTTATTTTAAAATTGAATATAAAAATTTAATCAACAGTGTTATGTATAAAAGTACATAAAATTAATTATATTCCTCAATGTCAAATTTTTCAAGGGAGCACATGTGTAATACTCAGTTTCAAAATTTTAACATTCTAAAATGTATAAAAAATATATTTTTAAAATTAATAAATTTTAATTGAATGTGAAATTATGAAAAAATAGGTTAAGGATAAAATCGAAAATAATTTTTTAAAAAATAGGTAAAAATTTGAGTTTAAAATGTATTTTTTAAAAAAAAAATCAAAAAATTGAAGTCAGAATGCAAATAAAAAAAATTTGACTACGTAAGACCGCCCAGTCAGTAGTCTCGACGAATCAGAGAATGTCGCGTGGCAAGGTACGCTGACTCAGTGTCACACGGGAGGCCACGCTGGCAATCTGTGTGCCTCGCGATCGGACGATATAGAAACGATCCCCCACGCGTGGACGGTCCAGATCCGTTTCTTCCTCAGGCGCGATCGGGGGTCGAAATCAAACGCGATGAACGGTTCAGATTCGTTTTCTCTTTAAACGCGATCGGACGGTCGAAATCAAACGCGATGAACAGATCAGATTAACGTGATATGGGTATAAATATTTCGCATCACACTGAACCCAAACTCTAGCAGCCAGCCTCCCATCGGAGAAGGGGATTGTCGACTGTCGCCGCACCGGAGCCACATCCGACCATCAAAAAAGGTAAACATTTTCCTAACCGCTCGAAATTCGATTCCGAGCACCTCTGTGGCTATATCAGAACAAAAGGAACAGCGGGTGAGCTGAAAACCGTGGGCAAAGTCCGGCATTGCTGTAGCGGATAAAACCTGCAATCTCCTCTGATGAGCCCCTTTTCGTTTCTCATTTCGTGCGATTTTTTCACTGTTGTGTTTACCGTTCTGTTTTCTATAGATTGACCGAAGAAAAAATTCCAGCTGCGAAGGTGAGTCGGCGGAGCCGCCGCACTCGAAAAATCCCACCACCAGTAAGTTTCCGTTTTATAACTTTTTTAGCCAACCGAGACTCCCTAACGTGTTTGTTCGCAGAGATATGTATAAAGTTGGCCAAAACTGGTTAAAATTGACTGAAAATGGTCAGGTTGAGGCAAATCGCCGCCGCAGGCAGTGGTTTGTCGCCAGAGCACGGCGGTGCCGCCGTGGCAGAACCCCAAAATTGGCCGAAAAGAATTTTTAACACCGATTTTGGATTTTGGGGATATTTTTAGGTACATGAAATGTGTTTTAATCTTTGTAAAAAAATTCAGAAAACTCAGGGACCGCCAGTAGACGCAGTAGAAAGTTCGGTATTTCAGACACCGATTCGGGTAAGGATCCCTCACTCTTTTCTCCGTTACGGTAAATTGAGACTTTATAATTAATAATTGTGTATTTTTATGAAAAATTAGAGAACCTTAAAAATAATTACAGGTCACTAGTAAAGCTGAAACCAGTTAGTTCATAGTCGTTTTGATTTCCTATTTATTTTCCTATATTGCCTATATTTTGTTATTATTATACTATACGTAACTCAATTAATGATTTTTAGGGTCTTTTTGGTTATTTGGTTATTTGTACCCCTACATTGTGTACCGGTATTTTAGTCATTAATTTTTTAGCTGTGTTAAACTATATTGTTGTCTAAGTTAACTGTGAGTATAAAATGAGATATATATTGCGTGGTTAATTATTATACTGATGGAAATTTGTTATAAGAAAAATGTATGGGTACCCGGGGAAGGGCGGACGGTCCCGGTACGTAGGAAACTATATTGTAAACGTTACCTCAGTCGAACGGGGCTGGAAAGTCCCTTACTAGTAAGGTTTGGGAGATATGATTCATCTTCATACTGGACAAGGTATCGAGGTGGTGGAATGTTTGACGCCAATTTTCGGACGAGGTATGGGGACGGTCGGTTAATTGTTTAATTAGATATTGGGTTTACGAGTAGGAGGATATCCCTATGGACCCCCAAGGATACCGGTAAGTGGGTAATAATGTAAAATCATTATTTCTTGTCATATTATACGTGATAAATAATAATGTATGAATATGAGTTTTCATAAGTTATTG